CCCACCCCCCGCCCCCGACACACACACACACGTCCCTTCCCTCCCCCTTCGGCGGCGGAGCAGCGAAAGGAAGTTTTGCAATCCCGGACAAACAAACGCTGGTCTTGCACAGGCTTGAAAAAGTTGGGGGAAAATGAAGAGTGAGCGAAATCGAAGCCATCTCCGGGCCTGGCGCGAGCCGCGGGGCCTGTCCCCTCCACCGCGCCCGGCCGCCCCGGCCGCCGACCCTCCCTCTTCCGCCAGCCCGGCGGTTACCTCGCGGGGCGGGGCGCTCAGTAGCCCCCTAACCAGCTGGAGAAGTCGAGCAGTTCGCGCTCCGCTGGGCTCAGCGCGCCCTCGCAGCCGCTGTCTTCTGATGAGTAGGCGGAGCGCGGGGAGCCGGGCTCCGAGCTGCCCCCGTGACCCGGGGACGACGAGGCGCAGGAGGGCGAGGCGGAGGCAACGGGGATCCCGGACGGCCCGCGGGGCGCCGGGGGCCGCGCGGAGGGCGCCAGCAGCCCCCCAGCCAACGCGGCGCGCACGGCATCGTGTTCGGCCAGCAGGCGCTGCAGCGCGCGGATGTACTCCACCGCCGAGCGCAGCGTCTCCACCTTGCTCAGCTTCTTGCTGGCGCCGCCGTGCGGCACGTGTTGCCGAAGCGCCTGGAACCCCAAGTTCACCAGCTTCACGCGGTTGCGCTCGCGCTCGTTGCGTCGCGCCACGGCCGCCGCGCCGCCCCCGGTCTCTTCTGCGCACGGTCGCCGCCGCCGGCTACAGCGCAACAGCTCTGGGGACGCGGGTCGCCGCCGAGCGGCGCAGCCGCCGGAGACGCCAGGCGCGGGCTGGGTCAGCGTGCTGCGGTCCATCGCACCCGCATTCACTTGCCCGGAGCCGCCTCCGAGCCCCCGCAGACCGCAGGAAGGTGCAGGCAGAGGGACGGGGGGCGGCGGGACAACGGCCACGCCCCAGGGGGGCCCGTGGCACTGCGCCGCTGACCGACTCCCCAGGATAAGCGCCCCAGGTCGTCTGGGGCCCGGAGACGGGGAGACGAAGAGACGGCGGGCTGTGCGCGCCGGGGAGCGTGGGGCGCTCGTGTTCCGCGCGTGCGGCCAGACGCTCCTCAGGTCTTCCTGACGCGGCGCAGGCGGCTGGTTTTTAAATGTATAGATAACCCTCCTCCGCGCCGCCGCCGCCTCCTTTCTCACGCCCGCCTTCCCTCGCCTCGCCCTCCCGCCACGCTTCGCCCTCCCCTTCGCACGCACGGCCTGCAAAGACCAAACCCGGAGGGCGCCCCCAATTCCGTTCCCCCCGGGGCACAGTCCGCAAGTCCCCGGCGCGCCCCCGCCCCAGGTGCAGTCCGCAGGTCCCCAGTGGGCCCCGGTTCCCAGCAGGTGCTCAGTGCGCCCCACAAGACGCAGTACGCAGGTCCCGTGTGTGCCCCCCACCGCCTCTGGGCGCTGTCAGCAGGTCCCGGTGCGACCCCCGCCGCCACAGCGCAGTCCGCAGGTCTGGGACCTTCCGGTGCCCCCACCCCCGCGCGCAGCCCGCTAGTCCTCGGAGCCGCCAGGTGTCCGCACGCGCAGCGCACGCCGTGGCGGGGAGGGCGTGGCCACGGGGACAGCTCAGCCGGCCCCGAGGCGCTCTAGACCCCCCGGGCGCAGCACGCGCGGCGCTGCCCGCACCTGCGCCCCGCCCCCAGCGGCCGGGGGGCGGAGGCCGGGGTTGCAGCCAATCGCGAGCCGCCCGCTCGGCCAATCGCGGCAGGCGCAGCCACACGCCCAACCCCCGGGAAGAAGCGCGTGCGCCCGGCGCGTGGCTCCCTGGAGCGTGTCTGAGAAAGTTCGGCTCCCGCTTGGTGCTCCCTCAGGCCCCGCCCCCTGCGCCCGGGGTGTGGAGGGACGCGCGCGCCGCCACGCACACCTGCTCTGCTGCCCGCTGCCCACCTGGGATGCCTCCATCCGTGATAGGAGAGGGCAGTGCAGCCCTTCGGGCGGGGCGGGACTTAAGGGGTGGTCGGGGCGTTCTGGGGCGAGGGGTTCAGGCTCCTGGGGCGCCTTGCCCCGCACCAGCAGCACACACCCTGTGCCTGTGGCTTCCGTGCGCCCTGGGCCTTGGGGATCCTTGACGCGGAGGGCCTGACGCTTTGCACCGACCGCGTCGGACCCGGGGCGGCCGTCCACCGTCCCTCCGCCCCCGCAGTTCCCTGCTGGTCCTGTATCCCCCCCAAATCTTCCTGCCTCCCGGGTTTCATTCGCCCGGGCCACTCGCCCGTCGGTGCCTGTCACCTCATGGCCCTCGCTCCTTTTCCGTCGGTGCCACGCCTCTTGGACGCAACCACCCACGCACCCACGCCTGGCTAGGGCCTCGCTCTGCCACTGGCTCCGAGGGCACTGAGATTGGGCCGGCGGGGGAAGGTCGCTGGGACAGCAGCCTTGCGCCCATGCAGGCCGGGTCCCCAGGGGAGGTGGGGCGTCGAGAGAGTTTCTGCCTGACAGGTGGGGGGGGGGAATATCGGGTGGGGGGCAGGACTGCGGAGTGTGCAGAATGCACCGTTCATGGGAGAGTTTGTCCTACTTCCCAACTGGGAACGCCAGCCAAGTGGCTGTGCCCTCAGGAGACCATAGCTGCATTGGTGTTTCGCAAGGGTGACCAGACCTTCCTGGGCTAGGACCCCTGGGAGTGGAGTGATGGGACAGACCCACCTGCCTGGAGCTGCCTTTCCTTTCTGTCTGGGGGAGGCCCAGGACCCCTCCCCAGGGAGCCCCCAGGGCGTGGAGCCGGCATTTCCTGCCCACCCTGTGGTTACGGCCTCCCGTTCCTTGCAAGGATTCTCCTGGCAAGTCTGTTTGGCCTTCCTGCTTGGGGAGTGACCTGGAGGCTAGCACCTGCCTGGAGCCAGGTGGGCATGGGGCCCCATTCATCTTAGGAGGACGCTGACTCAGGGCATGAAATGTGCCCACAGTAGTACCTCTGGCCAGTAGAGTGACCCAGCTGGAAACAGGGTCCCTGAATGAATCCAGGTGGCCTGACCTTCCTCCCTATTCGTGGCGGAAGCTATGGCTACCTCTGCGTCCTCTCCCTGGTCAGAGGTCCGCGGCCCTCCCCTGACTGTCACTTGGCAAGCCCCAGCCAAAGATGGACCTGCCTGTCCTGCCTCCCCTGCCCATGGCAGAGATGCCAGGAAGAGCCCCAGAGTCCTGCACATGGCCTTGAGGATCCTTGCCTGCATGTCTGCTCGGTCTCGGGGGCCTGGAGACCCTCAGTTATTTAGTGGCACAACACAGACCACCCAGGTTCTAGAGCTTTCACTGTGATTTAATTATTTGGTGACTGCTGTCCCTGCTGGTTTGTCCCGACTTGCTCCTGTGGCCGGGTGGCAGGTCTGGCTCCCGTGTGGTCCTCACTCTGTATTTCTTTACAGCCTGGTTCCCAGGTGGGAGAGCAGGCCCTAAAGGTAGGAGGTTTCTTCCTGAGAAGTGTTCTAGCTGTGACCGTGGTGAGCGAAAACCCGTTCATGTGTACACTTTAAGTGGATGAACGGTGTGGGGGGTGTGGATTATATCTCCATAAAGCTGTTAGAAAAATGTAAGCCACCTGTCAGGGCTCTGCCCAGGCCCCCCGCCCGCACCCCGCACCCTCCCGGGGCTGTTTCCCGCTCCCAGGCTCTGCCTGCTCCAGTGGCCATCCCTGAGCTCTAAGGCAGCGGTCAGGAAACCATGCCCCCTCGCACAGCCCCTGGCACCCACCACTCTACTTTCTGTCTGAATTTTACTCTAGGGACCTCATGTGAGTGGGGTCACACAGGATTTGTCCCTTTGTGCCTGGCTTATGTCACCCAACACAATGTCCTCCAGGTCCCTCCACGTTGAGCAGGTGTCAGGATGTCCTTCCTTTTTAAGGCTGAATGATCTAGTCCAGTGTCTGGAGGGACCACGTTTTGTGTATCTGTTATTTTGTTGATGGACACTTGGGTTGCTTCCATCTTTTGAATATTGTGAATGATGCTGTGTGAACATGGGGGTACAGACAGCTCTTCGAGGCCTTACCTTCACTGTTTTGGGGGATGTACCCAGAAGTGGGATTGCTGGGTCATATGCTTATTCTGTCTTTAGCTTTTTGAGGACCCACCAGCCTGTGGGGACAGTGGCCGCACCATTTTACGTTCCCACCAACAGTGCACAAGTGTTCCGGTTTCTTCACATCCTTTCCAACACTTGTCATTTTCTGTTATTGTTATTTTTTTTAATAACGAATGGGTGTGAATTTTAATTTTTTCACCACTTAAAAATGTGAAAATTGTCCTCAGCTTGTGGCCAGTACCAAACAGGCAATGAGCTGCACTTGGCCGTGGTTTGCTGACCTCTGCTCCAGATGACCGGTGTGTCCACATGCCACCTGCATGACACCAGTCATCCCACAGGCTTCTCAAACTCAGCTCCCCACAGGCCTTTCCCCTAAGCCCACTCCCCCACCTGCGTCCCCTCAGAGGAGGCCACCCACCAGACATCGCTCAGTCAACAGTATTCGAACCGTGACGCGGAGACCACGTGCCACCCCCTCCTCTGTGGGCTCCCACTCAGGACCACGATCCCCTGCCCTAATCACCCCAGAGCCAGGTCCCAGACAACCAGGGACAGCCCCAGTGCCTCAAAGCCCACTGAAATTATTCAAATTAGCCAACCCTCACCTAAGCCTACTTGTTTGCCTCACCTGTTTCTTTCCTCCGAAACCACAATAAAGGCCCTTGCCCGTGTTGTCACCCCTCCCTCTGCCTCCTGGCTAACGCTGGTGTCCCCGTGTGGCCCTGGCTGGCATCACCTGTCCCCGACCCCCACCCCCACCCCCGTCTTGGGAACTGTGAGTAACAAACGCTTTTTTCAGTGGCAGTTGTCTCCTGATCTCTTGGCCATGCCCATACCTCAATAATAATAAAACCTACATTTTAAAACACTCATTGCCTCATGTGGCAGACAAGGAAACTGAGGCTAGAGCGAAGCAGTGACGTGGCCAGTGAGTGAGAGGGGTGTCAGCCAGCCTGTCGATTCTGCTTCCTTATGGTCCCTGGTGAGGCCTGGGGCTGAGAGGGGCTCCGGCGGCTGTGACCTTGAGGGCGGGCCAGCCGCCACTCAGCCCAGCCCCTCCATGGGGTCCACCTTGTGCTTCTGGGCAGGTGTCACACCCTGAAGAAAGTGCGACACACTCACGACGGGACAGGTCCTCCAGGCCACGCTTTCTAACCACAGTGCAGCAATGCTAAAAAGAAAACATCCCAAGTTCAGTCACCAGCAGGGCCAACGCAGAGGGGAAGACAGCCCTCTAAGTCACACTCAAGTTAAAGGGGAAACCAAGCAGCAAGCGTGGGCTTCTGGAAAACAGACGCTCATGAGAACAACCCCAGTGAGAACCGGACTCTCAGGCAGCCGTAGAGCTTCAGATTTCTTAGAACACGGGGGGGGGGGGACCCTGGAGTGGCCGTTTTAATGTCAGAAAAAGTAGATCTCAGAGCAAAGAATATTACCAGGGGGAAAGGTCATTCCATAACAATTAAGGGGTCAGTTAGGATATAACAATCCTAAGCGTTAGACCTTCTAGAGAGAGACAAATCTACAACTAGAGTCAGACTCCAGTCCTCCGCTCATCCTACTTGAGAGAACATGTAGACAGAAACATTTTTTTAAAAATATGGAAACGTAAACAACACTATTATCCAACTTGACCTGACTGACAGTGATAGAAAGCTCAACCCAATAACAGAAAAATACACATTATTATTATTTTTTCCTAAAGATTCTATTGGGGAATTGGGGAAGGGGAACAGACAAGTTGCTGTCCTTTTGTTCTTCAGTCTAGTTGTGGAGGACGTCGCTTCACTGGTCCATGTTGGTATTATGATCATTGCGCTCTTCCTGGGTGAGGGAGATCGGTCGCCGGCCATTGGACAGCAATTCACGCTGGCTGCTGGCCATTCACAGTAGCTATGGCAGCCCACTGCAACCCCACTGCAGCCTACACCTCGCCGGCAACTCATGGCAACCCAGCTCCAGGTCGAGCTGTTCAACATCTTAGCTGTAGAGGGCGCAACGTCACTGGCCCATGTGAGATCTGAACTGGCAGCCCTGCCGTTCAGAGCTCACACTCCCAAGCCAACAGTTAACCAATGAGCCACTTGGCTGGCCCAATACACATTATTTTTAAATGCACATGAAATAGT